TCCGCGCCTTCTGGAACTCCTCGTCGTTCTCCTCGACGTAGACGTGGTACGTCTTGCCCTTCTCCAGGCCCAGGAACGTGCCTTTGGGCTTCTCCTCCACGTAGGTGAAGCCGTCGAAGCCGCTCGCGGCGACGGCCTCGCTCTGCTTGAACGCGGCGAGCGCCACGTCCAGCGCCTCCTTCGCCGCGCGCTCCTCCTCGGAGCCCATGCCGAGCTCGGGGTCCTTCCGGATCCGTTGGAGGTCCGCCTCTTTTTGCTCCTTGTCCGTCTGGATCGTGTGCTGCAGATCCAGGATCTGCCGCTTGCGATCGAGCTTGTCCGTCTTCGAGATCGTGGAGATGTGGATCTTGCAGCGCGGCATCACGTCCGAGAGGCAGTACAAGTCGTCGATGGCCGCCGCGGTCGTCGAGCCGTCGACGATGTCGAACTCCTGCGCGCGGACGCGCGTCGAGACCGGCGGACCGCGTCGCGCGGGGGACCGCGGGGGGGGGGATTTCGAACCTCGTCGTACATCTCGTAGTGCATGATCACCTTCCCGTTGCCGAGCTCCTTCTTCTTCTCCAACGCGAGCCGCACGGCCTCGGCCTCGGCCTTCTGCTTCGCCTCGGCCTCCGCGGCCTCGGCGTCCGCCTTGGCCTTGGCCTCGGCCTCGGCCGCGGCCGCGGCCTCCGCGTCGGCCTTGGCCTTGGCCTCGGCGGCGTTCCCGCCCTTGGTCGCTTTGCCCCCCTTGGCCGCCGGCGCGGGCTTGCCCTTGGCCGCCGGCGCGGGCTTGCCCTTGGCGCCGCCGGGCTTGACGACGACGATCTCGTAGCCCGCGCCCGCGCCGCGCGCGTCCTTCAGCGCCGCGTTGATCTCGGCGTTGCTGCTCGTCTCGACGCCGTTCACGAGGGCCACCTTCCAGCCCGCCTTGCAGCCCGCCTTGTCCGCGAGGCCGCCGGGGTTCACCTTCGCGATCTCGCCGGTCTTCGTGAAGGAGATGCCCGCTTTCGCGTCGGCCTTGGGGAGCTTGACGCGCACGAGGGCCAGCGACCCGCCGCCGCCGCCCGCTTTTTTCCAGTCGTCCTCGCTGAAGGCCTTGTGCTTACTCGCCGTCGCCTGGTCGACGCTCGCGCCGGCGCCCATGCTCTCGGTCGATCGGCTGCCTCTCTGGAGACAGGCTTCTCGCGTTGGCTGCAATCTGGCTGCTCCAAAAAAGCCGATCTTCGGCACCTTTAGCGCGGTCTTTAAATGCGATGAATGGGCTGAGAAGCGCACGGTGTCGCGGAGCTCGGCGACGAAAGTGATGAAGAAGACGAAGGTGCAGGCCCAGCAGCCGCAGGCCTTGTGCGGCCAGTTTGGGAGGGTCATGCGCTCCGGCGCCGAGGGCGAGATCTGTCGTTTCCTTTCGACCCCGGACGGTCTGCGATTCGCGCGCTGCGGCAAATCACTGCTTCCTGCAATCTCTGGCGTTCTTGATGTATTCGACATCGGTCTCGACGCGATGCGGCGGCTCACGTTGCAAAAGGGCGTGGCCGCGAACCGCGCGCTCAGAGCCGTGCTCGCCCGGTCGCCGCGGATCACGTCGCTTGTGCTCTCGAATCGGACCTGGGTTTCGAGCGAGACGCTTTTGTGTCTCACCTGCGACTTCGAGCGCCTCGAGAGCCTCGGACTCCACAACTGCTTTCAACTAGCTTACCCGGACATCTGCGACATCGTGAATTGTTGCCCGCGGCTTCGCACGCTCGACCTCTCGGCGCGCACATTAAATCCCTTGCAGGTCGCGTGCATCGGCGCGTGTCCGTCGGTGCGCACGATCTGCCTGAACTACACGACGCTACATCGCAGCGCCTGTCGGGATACGGGCTCCGAGTTCCCGGACTTGGCGACCGTGTTGGAAGGGTTCGCCCGCATCAAGCTGTACGACCGCCATTGGCACCCGGGGCTGAAGTTTCGGTGCGACGCTGATGCGCTGCGCACTCGCGGGCCAGCGAAATGTGGAGGCTGCGAGAGTCGCGACGTGAGTCTCAACAGTCGCTACGCGAGTGTTTGCGGAGACGGGACGTCTTTCTTTCATTGCCATGATTGCGGTAAATACTTTTCTCAATGCTCGCGCTTCGACCCCCCACTAGCCGACGCGGAGATTCTCAAGGAAGAGACTCTTGATCTCCAGGTCCTCATTCCCCACGTTCGGCACATCAGTTGGGCAAACATTCGATCGTACCCGAGGATCATCGCCAGGGTCCGGGAGGCCGCTCCGGATCTCGAACTGGCGTTCCGCACTGATCTTGAGCGCTGGACCTGTGCACCCGAGGAACTTGACGCCCGCGTCTTGGAACTGCGGGAGGCATGGAACGAGATGCACTCTGATGAGGAATCTATCGAGATGGACGTGCCTCATTTTGCCCCCCTCTGGGCTGATTCGGACGGCGAGTCTCAGGGCGGGGGCGAGTACGGGGACTAGTACTAAGAATCCAACGATGCGAATAAGGTTACGCCGCCTTCGGCGGCGGGACGAAGGTCGCCGTGACGCGGACGCGGACGACGTCGGCCTTCGGCTTGGACGGCGGCGCGGCGACGGGGACGGCGCCGCGGAGCTTCGGCGACTTCGTGAGGTCGTCGAGGCGCTGGATGGGCTTGTACTTGCGGAGCCCCGACGACGCGAGGCGCAGGGCCTCGCCCGGCGGCGCGTCGACGGCGTAGGTGAAGGCGCCCGTCGCGAAGAAGCGGTCGAGCGCCGCGCCGTCGGGCGCGTCGTCGTCGTCGTCGCTGTCGTAAAAGGCCTCGACGTCCCAGTGGCCCAGGCGCTGGGGGTCGCCGCGCGCCTGGTCGACGCGCACCGAAGCGCCCTCGTCCGGCGGCGGGTCGAAGGGCGCGTCGTCGAAGAGGTAGAGGACGCCCGCCGCGGACAGGTACGCGCGCCACCCTTTTTTCAGCTCGAGCCAGCCGGCGACGGGCGGCCCCTTGGACTTGGGCCGCGACCGCGGCGACGGCGCCGACGGCGACCGCGGCGAGATGGCGTTTGATGTCCCCCCCCCGCCGGCGTCGCCGCGGAGCCGCGCTAAAAGGACGCCGAGCGCCTTCGCGGAGAGCTGGCCCCGGCCCGACCGCGTCGCGAGGTCCCGCATCGACGTCTTCCAGAAGAAGTCGGACTCGTCGCGGTGCGCTCCAAGCTCCGCGCGCGTGCCGAGGGTGTGCGTCGTCACCGTCGCCCGGAAGCTCCCGAAGATCCTCGAATCCGCGAGGTCCCTGACCGAGTCCGAGTCCAACGCGAGCCGCAGCACGTGCCGCGGGCACCCCGCGCCGTAGACGTCCCTGAGCAGCGGCAGCAGCTCGTTGCGCAGCCGCCCCCGCGTGGACCAGGACGGCGTCGAGTCCTTGAAGTAGGGCACGCCGCACGCGTGGGCCACGGCGTAGACGTCTTCTTTCTCTAACGGGAGCAACGGCCGCGCGACGGTCACGCCCTGCGTCACGGACCGGTCGCGCATGCCGCTGAGCTCCAGGACGCCGGCACCTTTGAAGACATTCGACACGCAGTTCTCGCCGACGTCGCCCGCGTGGTGCGCCAACAGCACGGGCGCGCGCTTCGCGAGCTTTCGGTACAAATCGTA